CAGCCTCTTGGAACGGTTTAGGGGGGGGTGCCGGAGCCTGGGGGTGGGTTTTGGGGGGGTCCCCAAGTTAGGCCACCCCAGGAGAAGGAGGGGGGACGAGTTTACCTCCCCGCTGCGAGGGGCGAGCTGCCGAGGAGCCCCCACAGGGGACGTGGCCCCCTCCCCGGGGGCCTGCGCCCCACGTCTGTGGGTCAGGATGGCCTGGGCCCTCAAGCTGCCGCTGGCCGATGAGGTGATCGAATCCGGACTGGTGCAGGACTTCGATGCCAGCCTGTCGGGCATCGGGCAGGAGCTGGGTGCTGGAGCCTACAGCATGAGGTAGGTCACCCCCAAAAGGGTCCATCCTGCCCCTGGGAGAGGGGCTGGCCCCCCTCGGTGGGGTCAGAGGTGGGGTGAGGACCCCCAAATTACACCTAGAGATGGGGGAAGCAAGCCGCTTGGTGGCTTTTTGGGATGGTTCAGGAGGGAGCTGGGGGTTTATCCTGGCACCAGCCTTGGGACGTGGTGGTGGCTGCTTGAAGTTGGGAGGGAGTCATGGTTGGAAAGAGCCCGGGGGGGGGTTTAGGGGGGCTTTGCTGAGCGACCCTTTTGGAGAGGGATGTGTTTGAGGGCGTGGGGCTGCGCCGCACTCAACTCTTCGGTCTCCTGATGTCCTCTATGTGCGGCTGAACGGCCCGGTGTCCGTCCCACGCGTCTCCTCCCCTGGGTGCAAGACCCCACGCCCAGGGTTGCTTTGGTTTTCTGCAGCAGCTGGTAATGGCCCCAGGAGCAGAGCTTTGCCCTAATTAATTATCCTCCTGGAGAAACACCGGCGTGGGTTTTTCGGGTCAGGCCAGCTTCGTCCTTAGAGCTAAACTGGAAGGAAAAGGGAGGACCAGGACCCCCCAAGGGGTCAAAGAGGGATCGGGACCGGGTCCTCGTAGCGTGGGATGCTCAACCCTCATTGCACAAATCCATGGCCTGAGCTTCGGGCCCGGTTTTCTTCGTCTTTCTTGCATCCAGCTGCTTGGCTGAGCCTCTGGGCAGCACGAGACCAGACCCCTGGGTCATGCTCATCGTTTGAGACCCCACAGCTCCTCATTTCTGGCTGCGTGAGCTCGTGGATGAGGTTTTGGGACAGGATGGGGTCTGTCGAGCCGGTCTGCGAGCAGCCACACGCTTCCCCCTTGCCATCCTGGATTAATTAGCTCTGTCGGGGGCCCGGTGCAGACCCTGTGCCATCCATGAAGGAGCTGCCTCAGCGTAATTCGGAGCAAGAGCTTTATTAGTTCAAACTCAACCTCTGTTCTGCTTGTTTTCATCCCGGGGACCCCCCTCGGTTGGAAGGAGAAGGGAGGACGAGGTGGATCCCTCCCCATGGACCCGGGGCGGGCGGCGAAGAAGGGGCTGGAGGTGACACTGTCCAGGAGGAGGATGCCCTGACGCCAAGACTGGGGCTTTCTGAGGGGGCTGCAACTGGAAATGGTAAAAATCGGAATGAAAAAGGACCCATCGGGTGGTGGCTCCCGGTAAAACAGGCTGGAAAGCGGCTCCCAGTCCTTTTCCAGAGGAAGAGCAGCTCTTCTCATCCTGCCTTCCAGGGAGGAGGAGAGCCAGCACCTTCCCGAAGCTATCCCTCTCACAGCCTTCAGGGTTTGTTTCATAGGAATCCTTGGGGAAAAATCGAAGCCTCAAAGGGGTGGGAGCTCGGAGGAGGGATTCCTCCAGCGTTACCTTTGATGGGGAGGGAGGGAATGAGTTTCCCACCTGTGCAGGGGAAATCCAGCTTTACTCTGGGGGGGGGACCGTGATGCTTCGAAGCTCCTTTTCCTCCCCTTTCCAATTCCTTTTGGGCAAGGGGACAAACGCTTCCCTCTTGGGGGGAAATGTGATGCTTCAAAGCTCCTTTTCCTCCCCTTTCCAATTCCTTTTGGGCAAGGGGACAAATGCTTCCCTCTCGGGGGGTTTCGTGGCTCATCTTAACGTGTCCCCATAGAGCTCAAACCCGTGGGTCGTGGATGGAAGCTGTAATTGCAGGAGGAAATCTCCCAGCTGGGAGCGTTTCTTGGGAGCGTTTACATCCTTTACCAACCACAGGATGGATTTTCAGCTCCGGAGCTTTCCCAACTCTACTTTCCCTGCGCCAAACCCACTGCAAAGCTTTTCTCCAAGCTGGTTTTACTGGTGCAGAAGGGCTTTGAGATGGATTTTGGATGAGCTGAGCCCAAAGCTGGGCTCTCTCTCTCCACTGTCTGAAACCCGACTCTCTTTTTCAGAGCCTTTTTCTTGCCCGTAAATAGAGCGGGTGCCCCCGTAGGTGAGAGCTCCGACCTTCCTCTCCTGACATCTGACATTTTCTCTCCCCGTCGCGGGAAGAGGGAGAGAGATTTCAACAAGCACCTCCCGTTCAAGGGGTTTTGAGAGTTTTTGAGGCTTTTCTGTGCTTCCCCCGTGGGTTTTTTTTCCCTCCCCTGGGTCCTTCTCCCCATGGAAGAGGCATGTTACAACCCCAGGAACAGGCGCTGGTAGGTGGTGCTGGAGGAAGAGGGTTGTTGCTTGGGCTGGAAGCTTTTCTTCTTCTTTGATTTTTCACTGTAGGATTGTGCTTTGCCTGAATTCTTGGCCTTACTGTTTTTCCTCGGAATTAGGTTTTTAGGAGAAAAAAGGTGGCTTGGGGGGTGATAATCGGGCATTGACCAAACTCTTCCATCCGCAGAGTTTTCATGTAATTATGGCTTTTCCCTTCTTTTCCAGGCCATTCTCTCCCACCCCAAAACTTTAAGCCTTAAGTCTTTGTCTTAAGTCTTTCCCCAAAAGCATGTTCAATTGCACATGAAATATTGTGGGGGTCTTTTTCAAAGGGAGGTGTATCCTGGGAGTTGCAGCAACTTTTCCAGGTGCCTTTGGAGCTGGGAGGACTGTGGGTTTGGCTAAAGAAGAACCCACTGGTGGCTGCTGGGTTTTGGGGGGGTACATCACGGGGGGCTGCTCGTGGGGTGTCGCTGACTGAAGGCCTCCCAGCTTCCCCCAAAAAAAGCCCATAAAATGACTTTTCTTGAACTGGGTGTCACTGGGAGACGAGCAGGAGGCCAAATAACGAAGTGCTGCCATGAAACTCCTCGCAGGTCGTGGCTGAGGTTGTCCTTCCCCTGGAGATGACGTGAAGGCACCAAGCCCAGGAGATGCTGAGCTTTCCCTTGCTGTTTTATAACCATGCCATATCTAGAATTTAATATTTATATAATTTAACTGTCCCCGCAGACCGAGGTGTCTCATCGAAGCTCCGCCGACCCCTCCGTGTGTCCGGATTCACACCAAAAAGCGGCTCCGCTTCCCTCAGAGCTGCTTGTAAAAACCAGTCATCCTTTGCTTGATGATTATTCCTGATTAATTGGCTCGGACTCTCCTTCCAGAAATACAGGGGTGCGACTCCCCTGAAGGGATTTCCCTTTTTGGAGATCGCAATTAAAAAAAAAAAAAGTGAGGTTTGGGTCGTGGTTGTGCGGGGTCTCAGCCAACATGGGTCTTATATTTGGGGAGATTTTTTGCAGGGCTGGCTCTGCCATTGCTCTTGGTCAGTGTCCCAGTGGTGTTAGTGGCCACGTGGACCTTCTGGAGCCCCCAAAAAGCAGCCAGTGATTTTTTTCAGCCGCCCTAATGGCGATCCGGCATCATGGGGGAGCTCGGTGCCCACAGGGGGGAAGCTGGGATGACGGTGACGTGCTCTTTCTGCGGGAGGGTCACAGTTGAGATTTGCTCCTGTTGCCCCCGGAGTGGTTTTGTGCGAGGTGAATACAAAGAAAGAGCAAAATCTGAGGGTTTCCTGAGGTTTGGGAAGCGGGATTGAAGCAAAACCGTGTCAAAGCCTGCGAGGAAAAGGAGCCCTCGTGCCTGCAGGGGAAGAGCATTTTTGCAGGGTGTAGCTTTTAAATTAATTTGCCCGTCCATTTGGGCACAGAAAATTAATGCTGGTGCCTCCCCATCCTCGCACCTTGTGCTTTCTTACAGGGATGGCTGCCGTCCCCGCTGGGTCCTTTCCCCTCGGATGAGAAATCCTTCTGCGGGAGGAGGAAACGCCGTTTCTCTGCTAATTGAGCTGGAGCGTGTCCTCCGGGTTGTGTAATTTGCCTAATTGTGTGCACGTGCCTCCGTGCTGGGACCAGGGCACCCATGTAACGTGGGATAAGTTGGGATTTGGGCAGAGAAGGGCTCTCCTGCTCGGGTTTGGGCGGCAGCGATGGGTGTTACTTGCAGAGAGGTGGATGTTTGCTCTCTGGAGACCAAAGGGTTAAAGCCCTCTTAGGGTGGGAGCTGGTATTTGGCCAGATAAGTCCAATTTTTTCCTTGGGAAATGCTTTTAATGTTCAACTCAAGATTTAACTCCTCCTTCCTTGTGATCCCCTGAGCCCAGGAGCCTGTAACAGGAGAGGAAGGTGACCTGACTCTTCCTCGGGGCTTAGAGCTTCCTTACTGCCCTTCCAAGGGACCCAAATTGCTCTGTCCCCAGCCCGTGATTCATCTGGGGATGGTGGGATGGCTCTTGGTGGCCCCGGCAGCATGTCCATGTCCTGATATGTTTGCCCAGGCTCTGCTTTTGAGGTTGGGAGGATGTTCTGGTTTAGGGGTTACGAAGTAATCGCTCTTGGCCGTTGTTATGGCCCAAAACAACTGCTGAGAGTCAGGTTCTGAACCCATTTCTGTTAAATCCGTGTCCGTAGGCTCGGGGGTATCATGGATGGCTTTTAAATTAACATTATCCAGGAGGTTCTTGTTGCCACGTGGTTTTTTGAGTATAGAAAAGTGTCTGTGATGGCCAGGGAGGGGTGGAGATGTGATCACAAAGATCTGGAGACATCCTTCTCCTGGGAAAAGTTGGTGGCACGGGGTTTGAGGGTGATGAGCCCGAGCTCGTCCCAACTGGAGCGGCTCCGTGTGGCTCCATGGACCTTCTGGAGAACTTCTCTTTTCTAACCTGATGGCCAGGAAGGTGCTCAGGCTGTTGCAGGTTAATGGTATGTGGTGAAGCCACCCTGATGCCCAACCCCGGGGCGGTTCCTCCTGTCCCTAGATGGAGGTTGGGCAGGAGTTTTGGTGGCTTTTGGCAGGAGGCCTGGAGCTTGAGGTATAAAAGAGATTCCTGTGGTTATCTCGGAACCCTGGGTCTGGTTTCTCCTACATCCCACGCCGTGGGTGACACGGAGCATCTTCAGAGCTCCATGGGAAAGGCTCTGGCTGTGGGTCAGGGCAGGCTGGTTTTGTGGTGCCCAGCAAAAGGACTCGTGGGGCTGGGGGGCTCGTCCAGGAGTTTGGGGAAGGTTGGGGGTCCATCTCCTGCTGGTGTCCCTCTGGAAGGGTCCTTTTCCTTGAGGATTTGCTCCACCAAGCTCTTGGTGTGTGTTGTGCAGCAGGTTACAGCAGTGGGAGGGAGGTTTTGGGGCTCTGACCGTCTGTCCCCCCCACATTCAACGTGCCCTGAGGTCTCTGTCTCCTCTTTGGCTGCCCCCCCTGTTCGCTGAGGCCACGGGGGGGTTTTATAAGGACAGAGGATGGGGAGAAAATTGCTGACCTTGACCTGACCAAGGCTTGAAATTCCTGCCAAGCCTTTCCCGGGGCGTTGAGGAGCTCCTGGCTGCTCCGTGTGGGGATGGGGTTAGGTTTGCTGGGGGAGGTGAGGGGACTGGTCCCACGAGGAAGAGGATGGGTGTTTACTGGTGTCGTTCTGCGTGGGTCCCTCCTGTGCTGAGGCACAAGCGGTGCCGGAGGAGCTGGGCTTCAGTCTGGATCACATCTGAGGCATGAAATACGTGGGGTTTGGGTGGCTGGGGAGGCTACCTTGAAAAAAGCTTTATCAAGAGCCACGTGGTCAGGTCCTTTTTTAAAACTACTCAATCTGGTTTAATGCTCCTTTGCAGTTCTGCAGAGATATATCAGGGTATGTGGTTTTTGGTTTTTTTTTAACTAAAAAAAGCTCAAAGCTCTTCCTAGGAGGAGGTACTAAATACCAAAGGCAGCACCTCTCTGTAGCCAGAGCCCAAATGAATTTCTCTGCCAAATCTCTTCACAGCGACGTCCTCGCCCTGCCCATCTTCAAGCAGGAAGAATCCAGTTTGCCCCCTGAAAACGAGAACAAAATCCTGCCTTTCCAGTACGTGCTGTGCGCTGCCACCTCCCCCGCCGTCAAACTCCACGACGAGACCCTCACTTATCTCAACCAAGGTGAGAAAAATGCTGATGGTACCAAACTGGGAGGACTGGCTGACGCTCCAGAGGGCTGGGCCACCGTCCAGGGTGACCTGGACAGGCTGGAGAGCTGGGCAAAGAACCTCATGAGGTTCACCAAGGGCAAGTGGAGGGTCCTGCACCTGGGGAGGAAGAATTCCAGGCACCACTAGAGGTTTGGGATGGACCTGCTGGAAAGCAGTTCTGAGGAGAAGGATCTGGGGCTCCTGGTGGATGGGAAACTCTCCAGGAGCCAGCAATGGGCCCTTGTGGCCAAGAGGCCAATGGAGTCCTGGGCTGCGTGGGGCAGAGTGTGGCCAGGAGGTGGAGGGAGGTCATTCTGCCCCTCTGCTCTGCACTGGGGAGGCCACAACTGGAGCACTGGGACCAGTTCTGGGCTCCCCAGTTCCAGAGAGACAGGGAACTGCTGGAGACAGCAAAGGGCTACAAAGATGCTGGAGGGATTGGAGCATCTCCCTGATGAGGAAAGGCTGAGGGACTGGGGCTTTTTAGTCTGGAGAAGAGAAGGCTGAGGGGGGATCTCATCAAGGATAGGGGTCAGGAGGATGGAGCCAGACTCTTTCCAGTGGTGCCCAGTGACAGGACAGAGGAAACGGGCACAAACTGGGCCATAGTAAGTTCCATCTCAACACGAGGAGGAACTTCTTTCCTGGGAGGGTGGCAGAGCCCTGGAACAGGCTGCCCAGGGAGGGTGTGGAGTCCCCTTCTCTGGAGATCTTCAAGCCCCACCTGGATGCTCCTGAGTGATGTGCTCTGGGCAACCCTGCTTTGGCCGGGGAGTTGGACTCGATGATCTCTAGAAGGTCCCTCCCAACTCTGACAATTCTGTGATTCCGTGAAAAAAAAAAAAATACCAACCCATGCCCTCCACAGGCCGTGTGCGCCCCCTCTAAATTCCCTAAAAAAAATGCCATTCTGCCTGTGGAAACTTCCCTTTGGGAAAGGAAGGTGCCTCGATGGTTAATTCCATATTGCTCCAGCTTGGAAGCACCCCTTTCTTCCCCTTGTTTCCCCTCCTCTTAGGGCAGCAAATCACCTGTAGGATTTAACCTAATTAAAATCCGTGTGCCGGAAGGTGGTTAATTGGGGGGTGCTCTGCAGCGGGTGTGTTTTACACGTTCAGGTTGTCCCTGCTGCTTTCAGGCAGAACTGGAAGATCAGGGTTGGTGACCAAAGGCGTGTGCAACCCATTTCTTCCCTGTTCTCAATCTTGGGTTAATAAAGGGCAATTCCTGGAAAGTTCCGCTGCAGGAGGAAGGGGGGAGGATTATCTTTTCCTGGAGAGGGGCTGGAATGGCTCCTGCTCCCACGGCCCCTCGCTAAAACGTGGCAAAAAGATCAAGTGTGGCAGAAAAAGGTGTCAAAATGCCAGAGGAGGTGCTGCAGGGAAGGCTCATCCCTGACTGACGATGAGGTGCCCCTTGTCTTCTTTCCCCCAGGTCAGTCCTATGAAATCCGGATGCTGGACAACAGGAAAATCGGGGAGCTGCCGGAGATAAATGGGAAACTGGTCAAGGTGAGGGGGGGAGCACTGGTTTGGGTGTCCAACTGGGGATGTCTCCTGCCATGGGGAGCAGAGGGTGAGACCTTGTCCTGCAGCCTCCCCCCTTACAGCATGTTTGGGGGTCCCTCTCCCTTGGAGGGGGAAGGTCTCTTTTCCCTTCCCAGTCTGGCTGCTGGTGTCCCACCAGTCTCATGGGGCCCAGGCTCAAGCCAAGAGGTTGTTTCTGATTGATTAGGTTTTGGGAATAAGCTGCAGCCTCCGTGTTTCTGTCCCCATCTGGGTTTTCTTTTATTGCTTTGACTTCTTCCTGAAGCTTTCGGGTGCCTCTGCCCCCCTCATTGACCCCTTTTCTCCCACTGGGAAATGCCTCCCAGCTTGAAAACCGTCAGGTTTCCTGCGGCAGCTCCAGGAATTGATGGTTTCTCCCCTCTCCAGAGCATATTCCGGGTGGTGTTCCATGACCGGCGGCTGCAGTACACGGAGCACCAGCAGCTGGAGGGCTGGCGGTGGAACAGACCTGGGGACAGGATATTGGACATCGGTGAGTCCATGGGGCAGCACCTTGTCTGGGGCTGGAGGAGACGTGGGTGCCCAAAGTGGCCTCCTTCTCTTGTTTTCAAGGGACAAAGTGCTGTCACAATTCTAGACTTCAAGAGATGCTTTTGGTTCTTCCACATGGAAGGAATCTCTTCCTTCTCCTCCTCCAAACCGCAGCTTGTTCTCTGTGTGTGCCCCTGCAGATATCCCCATGTCCGTGGGCATCATCGACCCCAGAGCAAACCCCACCCAGCTCAATACGGTGGAGTTTCTGTGGGATCCTTCAAAGAGGACTTCTGTGTTCATCCAGGTACAAAAGAAGCTGGAAAACTCCTGTTGCAGGAATTTAGGGGGGAAAAATAGGAGTTTTCCAAGGGGGGAGAGGATGCTTTTTTTTAACTTGGACCCAGATGCTACAGTGGTAGAAGGACATCAGCTAAAATACCCTCTTCTCCTGCCCCGAGCAGCAGTTTGCGTGTTAAAAGGCATGGTTGACCACCAATAAGTGGTTTTACACATTTTTGGGATGGTTTAGGCTCCTCTGGTTTCGTGGTTTGGGTCCCCCGTCTCGCTTGGATGCTTTTGCGCATCTCGCCGCTGCCTGAAATCCCTCTGGGAGGTCTGGCCCTCCCCGGAGGAACAGGCTGCGGCGTGTGGAGGCTGGTGGAGCTGAACTCCCTGCCCTGCTCATCCGGGCCTTGCTGGGAACACAAAAAGGTTGCAAAACTCGTGGAAAAAATGTGGCTCCACCTCTGCTGTGTGACATCCCCTTAACTCCTTCGTGCTGGTGCGATCCCATCCCGGTTCTTTATTTCCCCCTTCTCACCGGGCTGGCTTTTTCGGGGATACCTTCCTGGCTACCAGGAGGGGAATGGGAAAGGTGTGGTGGAACTCCTGACGTTGGGATGCCTTCTCCTCCCCTCTCTCTAGGTTCACTGCATCAGCACGGAGTTCACCATGCGCAAGCACGGAGGAGAAAAGGGGGTTCCCTTTCGGGTCCAGATTGACACCTTCAAGGAGAACGAGAACGGGGAGTACACGGAGCACCTCCACTCTGCCAGCTGCCAGATCAAGGTCTTCAAGGTACCTTGGCCCTTGGGTGGCCTTTCCACCCTGAGAAACAAACTGAGCATTGGTCCCAGTTCACGCCACAGCCCCAGTGAACGTCCCAGGTGTGGGACTGTGGCCGAGTTGCCCCCAAAAGGGCTTCTTGGTCCTTCTTGGCTTGTGTTGCTGCTCTCCTGCTGGTTCCTCTCTGTCGATTGAGTCCGGATGCTGTTGAGGCTCCAAAACCAGTAAGCCAAGAACAATCATAGACTGGTTTGGGTTGGAAGGGACCTTAAAGTTCATCCAGGGGCACCTCCCACCAGCCCAGGTTGCTCCAAGTCCACTCCAACCTGGCCTTGAACCCCTCCAGGGATGGGGCAGCCACAGCTTCTCTGGCCAACCTGGGCCAGGCTCTCACCACTCTCAGTCTTGTCCAGACTAAACAGACCCAAGTTCCCCAGCCTCTCCTCCTAAGAGAGATGCTCCAATCCCTCAGCATCTCTGTAGCCCTCTGCTGGGCTCTCTCCAGCAGTTCCCAGTCCTTCTGGAACTGGGGAACCCAGAACTGGTCCCAGTGCTCCAGCTGGGGGAAGCATCCGCATGTTGGCAGGCAGCTGTGTCGGTCCACCAAATTCCTTCTGCTTTTGGGTGGAGGCAGAGCCCACATGGCAAAGTTTTGAGGGAATTTCTCTAGGGTTCTGCCATGGGGAGCAGAAGAGCACCGGGTGGTTATAAAGGTGCTCTCTCACCTCCTGCTTTCCCCAGGGCTTTGAGCATTTGATAAAGGCAGCGGGTAAAATCTTGCGTGTGAGAGAGCACGTGTTTTTTTGAGGTCGTGGCAAGGACATCATTGAGCTTTAATGCTCTGGAGCAGTTTGTGCCACTGAAATGCCACCTCTCAGAGCAGTGGATGAAGGTGCAGGGGACAAAGGCCGGTTTCTGATGTCCCCTTGGAGCCCAGCATTCGCTGTTGGGACAAGTTTCTTCCGAAAAACATTTCACCTCCTTCAGATGTTCCAGGTCCCTTTTTAGGGGTGTGGGAGTCGTTACAGAAGTGATGCCGTGGCTCTAGTTAATCCTCCACAAAGACAGTCCCAGCCTTCTTCCTTTTCCCCTCTGTAAAGCAAGGAGTGGGTGAGCAGAAGGACCAGTCACCTCTTCTGCTGCTTGCATTTCTTGGACATGTATCCACCCGTCTCCTGCCGCCCTTCCAGGCCACTTTTCTAACTGGAATCTCTCCTTTCCAGCCCAAAGGAGCCGATCGGAAGCAGAAGACGGACAGGGAAAAGATGGAGAAGAGAACACCTCACGAGAAAGAGAAATACCAGCCTTCCTACGAGACCACGATACTCACCGAGGTGGGTTTCCTCTCTCACGGGGCGGTTGGCATCATGGTTTTAATGAAATCTGGCTTTTCTCACCCACCGGAGACAAGGAACTGGCTGTGAAATGTTCTTCCCCAGATCTCATCTCAATCCTCTGACTCTTCTGGTTTTTCCTTTCCAGTGCTCTCCCTGGCCAGAGATAACGTACGTCAACAACGCTCCGTCCCCCGGCTTCAACAGCTCGCACAGCAGTTTCTCCATTGGCGAAGGGTGAGTCTGGAGAAAGATGGTGGTTCTTCATTTCTCCCTGTGCGAGAGATTGATAGAATCATGGAATTGCCCGGGTTGGAGGGACCTTTGAGATCATCCAGGCCAACCATCAACCCAACACTGACCAACCATCACTGCCCCGTGTTCCCAAGCCCGGCTTTTAGATCCCTCCAGGGATGGTCTCCCCACCCCTGCCCTGGGCAGCCTCTTCCGATGGTTGACAACCCTTTTGGGGAAGAAATTGTTCCCCAAATCCATCCTAAACCTCCCCTGGAGCAACATGAGGCCGTTTCCTCTCATTCCTTGGGAAAAGAGACCGACCCCCCCCCCAGCTCCACCCTCCTTTCAGGGAGTTGGAGAGAGCGAGAAGGTCTCCCCTCAGCCCCCTTTTCTCCAGGCTGAACCCCCCCAGCTCCCTCAGCTGCTCCTCACAAGTTCTCCAGCCCCTTCTCCTTCTTCTCCAGACCCCTCACCAGCTCCGTTGCCCTTCTCTGGACCCGCTCCAGCCCCTCAATGTCCTTTTTTGGTCGAGAGAGGCCCAAAACTGCACCCAGCCCTCGAGGTGGGGCCTCCCCAGTGCCCAGTCCAGGGGGACCGTCACTGCCCCAGTCCTGCTGGCCACGCTCTTCCTGCTACAAGCCAGGATGCTGGTGGCCTTTTGGCCACCTGGGCAAGCTGTTGGCTCATCTTCAGCATGAGAAACCTGTGTGGGTTTGATCAGCAGTTTTTCCCCCTACGTTCAGCTTCCGGCCTGCTTCTCTCTGCCTTTCCCCGTTGCGATAATACTCCTCCAAAACCCATTCCTTCTCCCCAGATATTGTGCCGCTGTGATGACGGTGCTGCCCCCACATCTGTGTTCCGATCCTCCTGGTTATGGGACTGGGAGGGAGGTGGTTCCTCCGTGTCGGGATCTCGTTAACCTCGTGTTTTGCTTTTTTCTGGCTTTTGTTTTTTTCCCCTCCCCACCCCAGCAATGGCTCCCCAAACCATCAGCCCGAGCCACCCCCTCCGATCACAGATGTAAGTCACACCTCCGAGCTTATGCTTGTGGTAAGGACGGTGCGCAGGTCGGAAACTGGGATTTTGGGGAGGGAGCTGGGGCGGGTCTGCGGATGGCTGCACTTCTGTGGGGAAGAGACCACTCTTAATTTAACACTTTTGGGGAGTTATGACTTCTTTTCGACTCTTTGGGGAAAAAAAAAATGTGGGGCTGTGAGCGAGCTCTTTGGAGCTTTTCTTATCGCCTTGATCTTCGCTGTGCTTTCCCTTTTCCTTCCTTCCTCTTTCCCTGTCCCCTCTGAAACCTTTTTGAATCAAAACCTCTCCCGGCTGCAGCCTTTATCCTGTGTTGGGAGCCTGGCACTTTATTTCTCGATTTAAGACCGATTCTAAAGGCTGATTGAGCTGATCTGTGCCCGTTCCCCACTGGAAACGTTTCCCGTGTCACCTCTGAGGCTCTGACCCTTCTTCTCCTACGTTGCAGAACCTCTTGCCCACCAGCACCCCCCAGGAGGCCCAGCAGTGGCTGCACCGAAACCGTTTCTCTACTTTCTCTCGCCTTTTCAGGAATTTCTCAGGTGGGTGACGCCGTCCCTTCTCCGTGCCTGTCCCTTCTCCGTGCCTCCCCTCGCTCCTGAGCCCGCCTTCCTCTGTCCCTCGCAAATACAAATGATTTTAAAAAAAAAATCTCATCTTTTTTTTTTTTTTTTTTCATCACACAATAAAACTTGGCTTCCCCAGAGCCGTGTCCTTCATTTCACGCCTCGCTCTTAACTGCCGGAGCGGTGGGGACTGGGGTGGTTTCTCTGGCAGCGCCCTCTGATCCTAAAACAGGCCAAGAAACACTGATTTGGGGGAAAACGCTGGATGTAAAGATCTATTTTGTGTGTATTTTCTTCTCCTTTCCTGGCGATACGGTCTCCCTTATCCAGGGTCAGCGAGGCGCTGGGTGGCCAGGCTGTAAATGATAAGGTTCTACCCAAACACGTTCTTGCAAAACCAGTTTTTGGGGAAAAAAAAAAAAGCCTCCTTTGGGGGGAGGCAGAAGGAATTTAGGAACAGGGTGAGCTCTGCGAGGAGGGGGGGAAGGGGGATCTGACACACCTACGGTGCCCAGAGACACCCCCCTATCCCCCAATCCTGGACATTTTGGGCTGGATTGTGTCATTTTTCTCTCCTTTGTGTGCTTTTTTTTTTTTTGATTTTTAAAACTAGGTGCAGACTTGCTGAAGCTGACCAGGGAAGACGTGATCCAGATCTGCGGCCCTGCGGACGGCATCCGCCTCTTCAACGCCTTAAAAGGACGGTGCGTTGTTTGCTTAAAAGCTGCTGGTGGGTAAATGGGATTTGTTTTCAGCTGTTTGCTCGCCTCTTGCTGGAAAAGAGTGTTCGGTGAACCTCCCTGAACCTTTTTCAGTCAAATCTGATAATGTGGCCAGCCGGGTAATGGCTCTGGAATTTCGGGAAGTAAATCCATGTGGGAGGGAAGTGTTAGAAATTATCTCACTCTTTGAGGGCCAGAGAATCCAACCACGAGGCAGAAAGTCCTGTGGATGCAGTTCCTGTTCCCTCCATCCTCTGACCAGTCTCTTGGGGGAATTACCTTCCTGGAAAGGGAATATTCCTTTCCCCCTTTCCCTGGAGAAGCAGGGACTGGTGTTTAACTGGGGAACGATCCGATTTGGTTGCTGGGCAGCCAGCTGGCACCATGTCCCCATGCCACCTTCATCCCCTTCTCACCAAAACCTTTGCTCCATCATAGAATCATGGTTTGGGTGGGAAGGGAGCTTAAAGCCCCCCCCCAGTGCCACCCTCGCAGCAGGTGAAAGGTTGGGGGAGCCTTTGGAATGAGGCAGGGTCCCTCGGTGGGTGTCTGTGGATCGGCAGAGGTGTGAAGTCATAGAAGATCAGAGAGTCACAGATTTGGGTGGGAAGGGACCTTAAAGCCCCCCCAGTGCCCCCCCCGCCCTGGGCAGGGCCACCTCCCACCAGCCCAGGTTGCCCCAAGCCCCCTCCAACCTGGCCTTGAGCCCCTCCAGGGATGGGGCAGCCACAGCTTCTCTGGCCAACCTGGGCCAGGCTCTCACCACCCTCACACCAAAGAATTTCCTCCCAAGATCTCACCTAAATCTCCCCTCTTTCAGTGTCAAACCCTTCCCCCTCGTCTTATCACTCCCCTCCCTGATCCAGAGTCCCTCCCCATCTCTCCTGGAGCCCCTTGAGGGACTGGAAGGGGCTCCAAGGTCTCCCTGGAGCCTTCTCTTCTCCAGGCTGAACCCCCCCAACTCTCTCAGCCCCCCTCCCAGCAGAGGGGCTCCAGCCCTCCCAGCATCTCCGGGGCCTCCTCTGGCCCCGCTCCAACAGCTCCGTGTCCTTCTGATGTTGGTGGCCCCAGAGCTGGAGGCAGCACTGAGGGCAGGGGGGGTCTCCCCAGAGGGACAGAATCCCCCCCCTTGCCCTGCTGGCCACAGGGCTGGGGGTGCAGCCCAGGTTGCCAGTGGCTTTCTGGGCTACCAACTCATGTTGCTGGGGCGTGTGGAACTTCTCCTCCACCAACACCCCCAAGTCCTTCTCCTCAGGGCTGCTCCCAGTCCGTCCATTCTCTTCCCAGCCTGGATTTGGGATTGCTCCAGCCTCGGTGCATCAGCAGGATGGGGATGCCCAGGATGGTTTTGCTTCGAGCTGAGTCTGTCCATCTCCTTTTTTCTTTCTGAGGATACCAGGGAGGGAAAAGCGTTGGCAAAGTGTTGTCCTTGAGCAAACCCGGTGGCTTTCACTCCCTGCTCTCTCCCTAGGATGGTGCGGCCCAGACTGACCATCTACGTGTGCCAGGAGTCCCAGCAGCTGAGGGACCTCCAGCAGAAACACGAAGATGGGGATGCCGTCACCAGTACTTTTTTTGGTAAGGGCTCCCAAAACCTCTCTGGGGGCACCCGGGTTTGGGTGGAGGGAGAGGGAGAAAATAACAACCAGCAGAAATGTGGTTTCCAGCCCCGCTGCTGCTCCCCACGGGCACTCAGCACCAGTGGCCTCCCATCTCCTCGTCCAGATTAGGGACCTGGAGCGTCTTCCTTATGAGGAAAGGCTGAGGAACTTGGGGCTTTTGGGGCTGGAGAAGAGAAGGCTGAGGGGGGATCTCATCAAGGGTGGGGGTCAGGAGGATGGGGCCGGTCTTTTTCCAGTGGTGCCCAGTGACAGGACAAGAGGAAACGGGCACAAACTGGAACATGAGAAGTTCCATCTCAACACGAGGAGGAACTTCTTGACTTTGAGGGTGGCAGAGCCCTGGAAGAGGCTGCCCAGAGAGGTAGTGGGGTTTCCTTTTCTGGAGACATTCAACCCCCCCCAGGATGAATCCAACCTGCTCTGGGTGACCCTGCTCTGGCCGGGGGGGTTGGAGTAGATGATCTCCAGAGGTCCCTTCCCACCCATGTCCTTGTGGGATTCTCCTCGCAGTCTACCATGCTATTTATCTGGAGGAGCTGACGGCGGTGGAGCTGACGGAGAAGCTGGCCCAGCTCTTCAGCATCTCCTCCCAACAGATCAGCCAGATTTACAAGCAAGGTCCTACAGGGATCCACGTGCTCATCAGTGATGAGGTAATGGCCTCTTCTTCTGGGCCTCTTGCTCCGAGTTGCTTCAGCTGGTTCGTGTCTGAGCTCCACCGGGGAGGTTGGGGGTGGGTAGTGGGTGCCCTGGGACCTTCAGGAAGGGCCCTGCTCCATCCCCTCCCGTTTCTGAGGGATTGGGAGTTAATCCTTGAGGTCTGGGGATGCTGGGCTGCGGACAGGTCCAGGTCCACCCTCCTTCTTCTTGGGTTTCTTGGGTTTCATCTGGCTTTGCCCGAAACCCAGGGAGGTTTTTTTTTTGCCCCAAAACCAGGGAGGTGTTTTTTTTTTTTTTTCCCCAAAACCAGGGAGGTTTTTTGGGGTTTTTTTGCCCCAAAACCAAGGAGGTTTTTTTTTTTTTTTCCCCCCGAAAATCAGCCGGGGACTTGCTGTGAGAGGACTTTGCTTTCAAACCCGCCATCCCAGTATTCAGTGGTTTCTCTCAAGTCACTGGTTCAGGTCTTCCCTTCCCGGGAGCTGGAGGAAGGAAGAAATATTTACAGTTGGGGCCTTTCCTACCTCCTAGAGCTCTGAGCTCCTGCCCGAGCAGCTTCAAGCCCTTTTGCTAGAAGCTTTGAGGCTCCTTAGTCCTCAATCTTGGAACACAAAGCCTTCACGTTGGGCTGAGAAACGCTTCTGCTGGGTTTAAACCAGGGCTCAGCTGGCTTTTTTTTTTTCTTCCAGATGATCCAGAACTTCCAAGACGAATCCTGTTTCGTTCTGGACACCATGAAAGGTGAGTAAATGGCTTGTTATTTCCCTCCCGGGGTTTTTTGGGGGGATCTTCTATGTCGGATCCACCCGGGCCAGCGGGTTCCTCTGCTGTTGGCTCATGAGCTTTGTTTCTTCTGCAGCTGAAACCAATGACAGTTACCACATCATCTTAAAATAGAGAGGAGGAGGAGGAGGATCACCCGCCATCCTCTCGTCCTGCATGAAGACCCTTCGCTTCCAGCACAAAGGACACGAGCAGAGATCTGGAAACTTCTGGGCACCCTCTGGAAAGCCCCCGAGCCCTTGGTTCCTCGGGTTTTTCTTTCTTGGAGGGGACCTCCTTGCTCTGAACAGCCGTTAATGATAACGTGCTGCTTAATTGCTGGAACTCCAAGGCTTTGAAGTGACCGGAGGTCGGTAGAAATTTGCCCTTGGGACCTAAAAACCCTTCGTGAGGGCTTCTTTTATGGCTCTGCTTTTCTGAGAGGCATCAGCTCATGGACTGGCAAGAGAAGATGAATTCAACTGGCCCAAAAAAGGCCCTCGGGCACGTGCCGAGCTGAGCAGGTCTCCAAACCCGCTGTGTACTGGTGCTGCTGGAGTGGGAAGGTGGGGCTGGGTTTTCTTAAACGATTATTAATTATTTTATTTTTTTTTTTAAGCTTTCATTTAATATTACAAGGATGTCTGGTAGAGGAAGGCAGCGACTTGGTTTTTCTCCACGTCCACCTTCCCTCACGCTGGGGGGACGTCACTCAGGAGCTTTATAGACAATTTTTTTTGTGTAAAGCTGGAGCAAAACATGGAGTCGGATAAAGAACTGGGTGGACTGGTTTGGAGTCTGTGGGCTGCTTCTCTGCGTGTCTTAGGGAGGGAAAGAAAAAAAAAAAAGGCTTAACTTTTATCTCTCCTGAAAAACTTTGAGTGGTTTCTACCCTCTGCCTCGTTTTCTGCTCCTGCCTCCCCCTGCCCAGCCTCCGGAGCTGCCCCAGCGCTGGTGGGGCTCCTCCCTGCCCCGAGGAAGAGAAGGACAGCGAGTCCGAAGGGTTATTTGGAAGCTGATGGTGACAAAAGTGCCTCTGTGCAAGTTTCCAGGAGAACAGTGAAGGATCTGCCCTGTCCTGTGGGTGATAGATCCTCTTCTCCATCCGTAAGATCCTCCAGCAGAGACTGAGATGCCCGGGGCAACGCCTGCCTCGAACCGTCAGCGCTATCCCGGGATGTTTTCAGCCAAAAAATTGGGGAAAAATACAAAAAATACAAATACAGTCGCGACGGCCACATCCCTGCTGCGGGAACAGCAGCTGCTCTTCTGGGTCTGGAAGCCACGAGGGACACTATTACCACCAGGAAGGGCACCGGTCCCACCATGAAGGATGTTGGTGAAGGACGCCGGTCCCACCATGAAGGTTGCTGGTCCCACCACGAAGGATGCTGGTGAAGGGTGCCAGTCCCACCATGAAGGGTGCTGGTGAAGGGCATTGGTCCCACCATGAAGGACGCTGGTCCCACCATGAAGGGCACTGGTGAAGGGCGCCAGTCCCACCACTAAAGGCGCTGGTCCCACCATGAAGGGCGCTGGTGAAGGACACTGGTCCTACCATGAAGGACGCTGGTGAAGGGTGCCGGTCCCACCATGAAGGGTGCCAGTCCCACCACAAAGGATGCCGGTGAAGGGCGCCGGTCCCACCATGAAGGATGCTGGTGGAGGTTGCTGGTCCCACCATGGAGGATGCTGGTGAAGGGCACCAGTCCCACCATGAAGGACGCCAGGTCCCACTCTGAAGGTTGCTGGTCCCACCTTCCTCGGCTCGCTGTCATCTTGGGGATGGACTCAAGATACCTGACACAAATCGGAGCCAGTTCAGGTCTGGTCAAAGCTTCCCGTCCTCGGCCTGTGCTGGCCCAGCTCTTGCCACCGCTTCTTGGGACCTTCCCGGTGCAACCGGCCCTGACGTGTCCCCGTGTCCCTTTGGTGTCGCCTGTGACGCTGCTGGCAGCTCCCGTTCCAGTGCTGGAGGGTCTGCAGCTCCCCAAAATGCTTCTTCAGGATGGCGGTGGCTCCTTCAACCCCCCCTGCATCCTGGGCTGGGCAGGGGCAGGGCTGGCGAGGAACCTCTTCATCCAGGGATCCCCCTTCATCCAGGATCCATTTTCATCCAGGATCCTTCACCAGGGGACACACAAAGGCTCTGACTCATAATTCCAGTGGGAAGGAGGTAGCTGCTGAGGTTTGGAGACACCTCAATTCTCTAACTCCAGGTCCTGAGCCACCGTGGGTCCTGCCCGGAGCCCCCAAATCCTTGGCATGTCGCTCGGGGGTAAAGATGCCAAGAAAAATCATTTAAAAAACAAAAAAAATAGAATAATTTTGCTGGCTTCTCCCCCCTGAACGCTGAGGAGCAGCCTCCTGGTTGGCCTCTCACTTCTTGTCCTCGTTTTGGCACCTCCACTCCAACGAAAATGCAGTGAAATTATTTTAATTTCTCTCTGAGATGATCTGAATTTTAATCCTGGTTTTTGTTGTGTTGGTTTTTTGGGTGGTTTTTTTTGTTGTTGTTGGTTTTTTTCCCTTTAGTAACCAAGATGGGCCTGAAGGGGAAGTGCCAGGGGCTCTGTGGACTCTTGGTGAATTTTAATCTCCAGGAGGAGGAAAAAGGCAGGGGAAGTAGTTTGTGACACGGGGGGGGGGAGAAGAGAAGCCCCCTCCCCCCGCAGCTGAAGGGGTAGCGACCACCTCGTCCTTCCTCCAGCCCCACTTGGAAACAAAGGGGGGAGACGAAGGGGTCAGAGCTGGGGGAATGAAGAGGATTTTTTTTTTTTTTTTAATCCTCTAATTTGACCTTTTTATTAGTTAATAACTCGGCTAATCCCTAATCTGGCGGGGGGGAGGGCTGGAGTGTGTTGTGGGGGGAGGGGGGTGCCCAGGTGAGCGTGGGGGAGGCTGATACCCCCCCCCCCCC